AACTGCAACTCTGTAAGCTTAAGGGCAAAGTGGGAAACCAGTTTGCGAGTAGTTTAGCTTTTGTTTCATTCTGATCCTTACATCCAGTTTCAACTGGTCTTCTTGACCAGTCTACATTCCTAAATGTAATGAATTAATGCCATGTGGTTGGCTGATTAGACATTTAAATGTGCAGCTGAACAAGTGTACCTAATAATCCTCTGTGTGTTCATGATTTAAATATTTAAAGGATAAACAACAGAGAAAAAACACTTTTTTTTCTCCTTTTCACTTTAAAAAATGTTTACTTTAAAGATGTACATGTCCCTATAAAGATGATTTAAAAAGTGTCTTTTTATGAGAATTGCAATAAGATACATTTCAAATGCTACTAAACCTGAAAGGCAAATACCAGCTACCTTGAAACAAGATGACACACAAGGCAACGAAGCAGCACAATCAGCTCAGGGCAACAAAACCCTTCTTATCCCAAAAACGTAAGCCTTGACACAACACTTACTGTACTCAGATAACTTGCAATATATGGCCTCAAATTTGAATCGGATAAACAGTTCTCGAAAGTGAAGGACAGACATGCAGAGGCAGAGACATAGATCCCTTCATTCATTCATTAGTGACACAGCCCTAGAAACCTAGATGAACTGAAACAGTTGCGACATAGATAGAGCTGGAAAAAGCGATATCTGGATGAAAAAGATCAAATTGGTGTATGTTTTGTAAGTACAGTTAACTGATGTGGCTCATATCAGGAATTTCTGAGCTGACAGCGTTTATAACGTTATAACTTTCATATTCCACTTCCCCATCCTCCATATCTATCTGCAGAACTGGCGTGGATAGGATCAGGAAAATAAGTCTTGGATACCAAAGCCAGATCTTATATGTTAAAAATTACCAGACAATCTTTAAACAAACTGAACACTAGAATCTGGTTTAATTTTTATTTGTTAGGTTTGGTGCAGGTATCTGAAAATCCTGACAGAGGAAGTCATTATTGAAATAGAGTCATGCTCTTCTGACATGGGAGACAGAGGTGACCGGGGGTATGAGGCTAAGGGACAGTAAAAAACATGAATAAAACAGAATTTTGAATAAATCACTACAAATGTCTCTGCACTAAAAGCTTTAATGAATATAATCATAATACTAAAGCAGTGTTGAAGTATATAACATAATATGATTAAAATATTTTGACTTTATCTAAAAAGAGACCAAGGCTGTACCTTAAGTAAGCCCTTGGACCCTTTAACAAAAGATAAAATGTTATTTCACATAACAGTGATAAGAAATGACAGCAGTGTCTACAATCAGTTCAGTTCGTGGACGTCCAGTAGCACTGGCCTTTTCTGGCATATCTACACCGATGACTTGGAACAAACACTGAAAGAAGGTATAGGCAAAACTATGAGAGATGCACAATGGTAACCTTAAACTGGGGACTGTCTGAAAAGCCTTTCAGTTTTTTGGTTATTAAACTCTTGACTCTTCTCTCACTCTCTTCACAGTTTCTCATTGGGTTTTACTTCCGCTCAATCTATTAGGAGTTAAGA